AAGATTGTAAAGGGAATTGATAGTGTTGATGTATCATCTTTTTTTTTAATTTAATCAGAATAGTAGGACTAGGGGACACAAATATAAATTTTGGCAAGGTAGGAGTCATCTTCAGTTAAAACAGTTTTATTTTTCTAACACAGTGGTTGGCCTTTGAAATGGGTTGCCTTCAGATGTTGTAAAGGCAATAAATTTAAGTGAGTTTAAGAAAAAGCTTGATAAGTATATGAATGAAAAGGGCTGGCTTTAAACTTTCTTTATTATATTTTTTAAAATCTTTTTAATTTAGTTTTGAAGATGGAACAGCTGACATGGATCAATAGGTCTCATGTTGTCCCAAAATATTATGTTATGCTAAGAGTGGTATATATATTATTTAGTCTTTTTTCTTGTTTCAATTAATATCCATTGTTAGAAGTGTATGGCAAGAAAATACACTGACACTTATACATATTGTGTGTATTATTGATTTTTATGTGTTTCACATGTTTTGAAAATGACTTACTCCTTTTCTATGTTTTTGTATTATTCACTTCCAATTGGTTATTCATGTCATATATAGAAGTGTATATAAAGTTGCATTTCCAAAAATGGAAAGATGTGGGCAGGGTGCCACTGGGTTTGATTTATTACACTTAAGAATATAATCAAAAGATTTTTTAAGATTATTCAATGAAAAATTAAAAGGTATATACAATTTTTCTATTTTAATTTTAAACATTTCATTGCACAATATGTTGATAGTAATACTGAAATATTCAGCATCTGAGTGCACATAAGAAGAATACAAAAATAACAAATCTTGCAATATTTTTTACCGAACCTTTTCAGTTTTTTCAAAGAACATTTTTGTCAAATTTATTTCATATCTCTTTTTAGACCTCACGTGGAGGATATGAAATGAAATAATTTTTTTAGTTTTATGTATACAGTTGAATAACCAAAAGATCATAAATTACTATATTAATAACATAGAATTCCACTATAATTTATCAAGCTTAGTAACTAAGTTGTATTTCAGTCTAACAAAATATGAAATTTTGAGCAGACTAAAGACTTAACCTAGCTCCTTGAAATCTTTGTTGAAAAGAAAGAGATAGCATCCAAACACGTTAAAATGGTTGAGATAGCCACAAGGGGACATTCTGAGCTTTCAATTGGTTATTCATATCATATACAGAAGTAAGTGTATATATATGGAAAGAGGTGGGTGGGGTACCACTGTGTTTGATTTGGTACACGAACAATATCTTAGCAAGTTGAAAACATAAGAGGCTCTTATTTTATATTCTAGTTTGTCAATATCGGTAATTTGAGTTCTTAATTCATAGAAAACTACAGACTTAGTATTTTGACATCACAAACATCTAACTTGAACCAGTGCTGCATTCAACATACCATGTGACACACAAAAATTGATGTTTAACTGTGTTTTTTTTAATATTTACTTTTAAATTAAGATATTGATTAAGGTATAATACTAAAATTTGAATTATAATCTACAATTTGATACCAAACGTATTGACATAAATTCATGAAATAGTGGTTCAATAAAATTTTGAATGTGAGTCAACAAACGAGATGACATGGCCTTTCACCCGTGAGCTGTCTCGAAAGGGTTGAGGCAACTAGTTTGGGATGTGAAAGATTGTGTTTGGTATTATAAAAATGTTAGAACTCTGGCTCATTGATATTATCTTTAACCCTAAAACTACCGGCACCATTTTTTAATTCCTTTCTGTGTACGATACTGCTAAAAGTATGTTGTTTCCATAAAAATAAAATATTTAATTTTGATTTTTTCTTCTTTTTCAAAATAAAAATTTGTTATTATAATATAGTTATTTGCACTCAGACTTTGAACAGTTCACCTGCAAAGTGACTTACATGTTAAGTATAAAAATTTCTTTTTTCTTATCTGAAAGTTTCACATTTCACTTTCATAATCTTTAGAATTTTCTAAACGAAAATGAAAGTTTTTTAAGGTAAGTGTTTATATTTGCCATTTCCTCTGCTATATTACTAACTCTACATATTATCATCAATGTACAGTGCAATAAAATGTTTAAAATTAAAAAATGGAAATATGTACATACCTTTTAATTCTTTGTAGAACACTTTTGAAACTTGTGTTTTTCATATGCGTAATTTCACATCTTTATCTTTTCACTTATAGTTTATTTCAAATTTTCCTTTCCAATTCTTTGTCTTTTATTATTTATTCAGATACATCAACTGGTGCCCATAGGGCTTTATTATTATTATACGGCAACTCCCAAGCAGAGACTCATTTCTCTAACACTTGCACATGCCAATGATGCCATCTTGTTTATAAATTTTCACAATCTATGCGACAAATTAAATGTATAAAAATCACATATAATGTATAAATAACTAAAATGTAAAAGTAAGACCTAATTACAGTTTAACTGTTTTTGTAACTATAGCATGTTTAGGTGTGAAACAACCTCAAGTGCTATAGTCGATCAAGCAAACACAATATTAATGGCATTTACACGTAACAAAAACTGCACACCACTTTCAAAGTAATCATTTGGGGGAATATATGTACTATATACTAACGACTATATACACTTGTGTCAACTACCTACATGTACACTGTAAATCTCAAGACAAAGTATAGAAGGTGGGCAGAGCAACCATCATGGGCTGGAAAATTTATACCCGCTTCCCAGAGAATGCAGCTGCAGACTTTAGATCTCACGTGTCAATAGTTCAAACACATTAGCATCTAAATACTCATTAGATTACCAGCTTATGGAGATAAGATCTAACCATTGCTAAATTTGAGACTTTCAACAGTGCATAGATCACACAGTTGTTTTTTTTTAATATTTCCTTTGAAATAAAAGAATTAAAACTTAGATAACATAAAAATTCAAATTATAACATACATTATAATTTTCATTTTATTGACATATATATATATTGATAGTAAAGTGGTTTAATTAAATTCTGAATGTAATGCAGTATCATACGCAGAAAGGAATTTAAAAATTGCACCAGTAGTTATATGGTTAAGTAGATGTTTACAATTTTTGACAGTAAAGAATTAATGTTAGTGAAAAAGTTAAAGGGAGACATTCTGTGTTTGGAAGTACAGCAGTGTAATTTTTAGAAATTTCTATGGTAAGACATATTCCAGCTTTTGAGAAATTCAAACAAACTTCTTATAAGCTCTAGCTGCTTAGTTTTATTGCCTAAATGTTTAGGCCAGATTATGAATATATTCAGCACTTTTTAATTTGATTAATTTTGTTTCTAATACCAGATATTTCAAGACAGAATAGAAGACCCCAGGAAAGGCTTTCTTGACACATCAAAATTACTGAAAACCATTTCTTGGTGGAATCACTGCCATGGACAAGCAAGGGGCCTAGATAGGCTCATTAACCTTGCCCCACCCACTCAAATTGGACATATTTTGCTAAAAGTTAAGAAGAACCCTATCCATGGCAAAGCATGTGCTTTTTAGGAGACAGAAAGCACTGTATATAATAACCATACACCATGGTTAACTCTGGGTATTAAAATGCACTACAATTGATATTTATTGAAAATAAAGTCAAATCAATTACACTGAAATTGAAAAGTAGACCATTTTTTCCTTCAAGGAGAAATTTCAGGACTGTTGTGACAAAAATCAATTTTCTTTTTTTTTAATTTCAGTACTTTTCCAAGGTAAACCCCAAACTTATAAATTCCAGAAGACTTCCTGGACTGAAAAACTAGGATTAGCTTGGGCAATAAAAATCTATCAATATAAAATATACCTTGTTAGGATAAAAATGAATAAGGCTACACTATTCATTAAACATTCTTAACTTTGAAGGAAATAACACTATGCTATCCCAATTACTCAAGTGTAATAAATCCAAAATGTTTTGTAAATGCCCATGTTTCACAATATTATTAGGACAGCACTTTATATTTTTAATGTTATACAGTAACTTTAAAACTATTGACTATCAAGAGTGTGATGAAAATTGATTGTTTATCTAACTCTGTAAGGATTGGCATTAAAAAAATAACTAATGCTAAATTTCAATGAAATTAATTTTGATTTGTCAGACATTAGATGTTTCATTAGTTTAAAATCTATGAAAGAAGAAAGTTATATGTTACACACTGAAATAACAAGCGTAAACAAAATATGTTGGCACACATTAGTAACACATAGTGGCTGAGCTTCATCTCACATTCAATGATGACATTTATGCAAGTTTTTCGACACAACACCCTGGTGGAATGATTAACAATTAGGGAAAAAAAAACATCGGATGAGTAATACTGCAAATACAAAATACTGACGGGAAAATGTTCTGAATGTGCAGAATTAACAGAACTTGGGCAGCTTAAGGTAACAAGAGCTAACTGCACTGCTGCGCACAATATCATGTAAATCATCAAATCTCTTAAGTAAGTCTTTGTAGGAGAGCTCCATTTTCTGAAACCAGCTGTTGTGATCACTAAAATATTTCCTCATCTCTAAAAATATATGTGAAGTGAAAACAGTACTAAGCGTTGGTTTACTTTCTCATGCAATTTTAATTTAACAAATTTGACATATAAAGAATAAATGCTTACTTGACCATGAGTATCTCCTGGAGACTCTCCAGCATAGAAAACTTGGGCTAAACCAAAATCTGCAATGCAGGCCGTTAAGTCACCCCTTAAGAGAACATTTTTACTTTTGAAATCTCTGTGAGCTACAGAGGGTTTGTAGGCTTCACCTCTGGTTGGTGGTAATTCTTCATGTAAGTGCATGAGACCTTTTGCAATCGAGTCTGAGATAGTTAGTACTTCTGCCCATGAAACAACATTTGCCTATGAAAAGTTGGAGAACATATACAGTGTAATTATATTATCTATTTTTTATAGAAAAAATGCAATCTGTTCAAATCTTAACTGTTTCATAATACTATATCAAATGAAATTGCCATCATTAATCCAACATGCTTCAACACCATTACATCTTAAAGAATTCTGCTTTAAGTACAAGCCCTTTCTCAAACTTCTTATAGTAGTCTTTATTTGTAAAGTCAAACACTGAATAGTAACAGGTTTTATAATGCACTAATACTGCATGTTCTTATATAACCAGACAATTCCTACAATAGTACATGAGAATATTTCTATTATATTATAAAATAATCATAATATTGTTATGCATCTGCTTGTTTGTTAATTTCTCGTAGAAATTCTTTCTGAGAAACTTCAGCGATACAAGTTCTTTCTTGATTAAAACTAGTTTATTCTATCTCGATACAACTTTGTAATACATAGAATTTCCACAGTTACTTTAAACTCAACAACCTTTATAACACACGTTATAAATCACAGTGATTCACACACTTTATTTACAGTGCCTAGTGTTTGCTTGACTCAAATATCTGTCTCTTCGATCCATCTGCATATCTATCTATCACTGGCTTTATTTGCCAGGCTTATATACCAAAAAACGAGGGCATCTGGCAAACATTCGTAGGGTTCCTCAATAATTCATGATCCTTCAAGAAACTCCAACGCACATGCTCCCAGCATTGTGTGGCTTCCACTGCCCCTTCCTTAGTATTGTTCATCCTGAACAATAGCCACTTACATTAAACCAATAGATAATTAACA